TAGTGAACCTTGTCATACATGATTGGTTTATCATCTTCGAATGAACGCAAGTTCGACTGCGCATTGCAAGCCAATTTTCTCTGTGATTGAGTTTATTTTACCCCAACAGCCACCTTTCTCGAGCGATTTCTTTTTTTTGAAGTTTTAGACACCGTGTCGTGCACAACTCACAACCCTCGGTCATCAAATGGACTGTGGTGAATCCTGGTCTCATCCCTCAGAGAACCAGGATGTGTCGTTCTGTTACAGTCACCCGCGTCCAGTATTGAATGTTCTGTATCAACCACATTCACCAAGTCTTTGTCCAAAGTATCTCACTGCTATCTGGGTTGTAATCAATACAAATAATGTAGACGCATGTGGTCGTATCGCGGCTATGCACCGGACCTGGGTTCAGGCAATCGACGTGAAGGATCTGCTAGTGAAAAAGAACAGTATTCTTCCTATGAAAATTAGTGCAATGGCATATTTGGACTAGCCCATTCGATTGTTCACAGGCACCCAGCACTCTTAACGGTTTTGGGTATGGATTTCGATTGCTTATAAATTGTTTGAGCCTCTCTCACAAGGTGATTACCGTTGACCATGTAGCTCAGTAGTGATCCTAGCTTATGAGATGACACATACCACGAAGCGACACGTTGCAGTTTTCGGACAACCACGATCAATCTACCTTTCCGGGTGACGTCAGCAAAGCGCTTACGTGTCACAGCTTTTGGACTACAAACAATAGGCCGATTATACCAACCAATGAGAACCCGTGAGGCCCAGACAGAAGTTGGACGCCGCCAGGAATCGGCAGAGGCTTGGATGACCGATGAGCTTGTTTTTTACATATCGTTTAAATTCTATGATTTCCTAAAATAAACGAATCGCTATTTTGTGGCCTTTTTCCCGTGTCTCGGTTATGTGGAATACTGTCGTGCTAGTACCAGTGTGATTCAGTGCTTACTTGGGGTCCGTGATTCGTATTCCACAATCAGTGCGTTCCACAACTGATACAATAGCTCAGTGGTGAGGACTTGAAATCCCGATGCGAATTTTTGGGGTTCGAGACCTGACAAGGATGGGAAAGTACGCCACGGTGATAAGTCCGAGACAGTCCAGTGTTCGCAAATTTTTCCATCGGTTATATATATATATATATATATATATATATATCATAACAAGTGGTATGTGAATGACTGAGAAAAATTTCCCTGGAAGCACGCCACTGGTTTTGCGGTTCTTGCCACTCGTCAGGTATGTGTATCCGGTAATCTTTTGTCAGTTCATTCATATGCTTGTACCCGGGAAGTGTATTTTCGTCACAATAACCTTGTTTGCAACACTGGGTAATCATTGGATAGACAGCTCTCTCAGAGCCAGTCCAATGAAGAATCAAGGATTCGGTGTTTTGTGAGTGGGTTAGATGCTACTAACCGCAACAAACGTGACCTGATGGTCTTGGTAGATTTTGGTGCCTTTTTACTCGAAAAGATGGATTTCTTGAATTACGTTTTCATCGGTCAGGCATTACTCTACAATGTCGTCAGGTCACACCACTGGGATGCATGAGTTTTTTAACGATTCTTTCTAGATCCGAAGTTGCATCCTACCATACCGATGTTTCGAAATGCTTAAGTGATGGACGATCGATTGTGTCCACGATCACTCCAATAATACCTTTCGAGATCGCATCCGTGGCGGTGACCCTGGGGGCGATCAAATCGCATTCTTCTAGTCTCTTTGGGTGTTCAAGCGCATCAGACACATCGTTCCTGTTCTCAAATCGTAGACCCGATGTATGCTGAAACGATAAGCGTATCGCTTTTGTTTGAATACTTTGTTACTGATACCCTGTAAACATTTGGGCAGTTGTTATAGCAACCGTAGTCTAGATCACCAGTGAGTATAAGAAGGAAGTCGTTATGAATAGGCAACATACGTTTTTCTTCCTCTGAACTCACACCGGATTGTCATGGCATTGAATCGTGTAAAGTGAAACAACGGTAATCAGTTCACTGTCTAACAAATAGGGCAACGCTCGTTTGCAGCTCAGAAACCATAGCTAAAGAGCTCCAGTCCGAAAGAAAGACGATATTCGCACCCTTTTGTGAGAGCAGTTTCGAGACAGAGGTTAGGAGGATATTCCTATGCATATGTTAACGTGTAATGGAGAACCGCACTACAGGATTGTGAGTTGCTGTCACCAAAATATACTCCAGGCAATTAAGCTTCGTGTTTTGTTCTCATCCAAACCAAGTGCTTGCAGTTAAAAGAGAAATTTTCGACTCAAATTATCTCATTTTAGGTTCTTATGGGACGTACATAGGTCATGCAGTCGGTCGATTGTTCGAACCAGTCTGCGAATGCCATGCAATGTGCTTGAGTCCCGGCGGGGCGGGCTTCACAAATCACATTGTACACGAGACTGATGCGTACTTCCGCCTACATAATATTTGTGATTCACTTATTAAATAGATTGGCTGGGCCACGATGAATGTGGGAGAAATCCGCCTCCGCGCGCTCACATCCAAGCCAGAAACAATCTAAACAGTTTTCCGACTCTGGTCATGAGCCACATATCGTCAAATTTGATGCATAATTAAGCCATTGCGTGATCACTGTGAATCTCACATCCGGTCTCAGGATGAAACCTATCCCGCACCCCCGGATCACGTGTGACAAGGAGTTTCCATTCCTCCGACATCATTGATTGTTCGAGAAGCACTGTGTGTATTGATGTGACCACGAATGACTAGTACATTTGACGCGCTTGTCTTTGGCCGGATCGATTTACCGACACATACTGTCTAAGAAGCTTATACGTACACATTCACGTCATGGAGACTACTACAATATCGATCGACTCCAGGCAATTAGGTGTTACTATTGGACTGTCCGCGCTAATTTGTTCGTTGACTGTTTGAATACCCTGCTTGACCGCATTCGGATGTCATGCCTTGTAAACAAGGTGTACCAGATCGTGAAAATTGTTCACAAGCTACTTGCGGTTGAGATTATTCTCTTTCGTGAACAATACACAGTACAGCCGATATCAAGCTTATGTGATGTGGCCCACAATTGACTGGTACGTTTATCACGGTTGTCTGTGGCCGGATTGACTGATTTCGTTGACTGTTTGAATACCGGCTTGACTGCATCCTAATGTTGTGCGACGTGTGAGCCAATGTTGGCCTTCCTACGTGCTGCCCTCCGCTTGTTCACCGGCTGTGTGCCCTCTACAAAAAACGTGACTGTTTGGTTAGTTATTTTCTTGNTTTTCTTGAACGGGACACAATTAGGAATTCCGGAAAAGAGCTAATTTGTCTTCATGTCTTTTGATTACGATCCGTTCGGTAAGATCGCGACGGAATTTCGCGTTTGATCACCAACGACCAGCACTGAATCGGTGTTTCTTTCTATTTAGAATTTACCAGCAGTGCGTGTTCATGTTCGTATCCCCTGCGGGACGCGAGCTGTCGACGTTCCCTTAGGTGGTCAAAGCCCCTACCTTTGAGGTACACGGCAGATGCCTAACCGTACCTTGAATGCATAACTATGTTCACAAACCTCGCGGGTCACAGAAAGTCGCGGTCGCGGTCCACGTCCTGAAACTTGACTATACCGATTTGTTAAAGGAAGCTTAACTTTCCCCTGAGAATGCCCGCGGTATGAATATGAAATGGATTGGGACCAATCGCCACGATGAGAACGTGTCGGTGTTTACTCGATATGCCTGGACCCGTGGGAGCCAGGGTAACTTACAGAATACAACAATCTGATTTGTCCATTCGCCGAAAACCCGAGACTGCGCAAACCGGTGGTAACGACACCAAACGATCACCCCGGGGGATGTGTTCGAATCCCACCACTACCGCCTGAATTTCCCCACTGTGCGTTGAATGGCGGCCCTTTGATTGGCCGCTTCCCTCTTGATAAAAATTGTATTGTTGTGTATTTAATAAAAGGAAGTAAAAATGAAAAAACCTATACAGATACAGCACGTTTCTCCCATTGTCAATGGGCTTTTTTCTGGCGCCACCAATAGACGCTCACACTTTGGTAATTCTATTCTGGACTGGCATTGTGGGTGAAACCTCTGGCGGTTCAAGATTTGCTGATGGTCTGACAAGCACAACACAAGAAGTATTCAATACACAAAAGGAAGTAAATAGAGCAATTTCTATATACTTTGTGAACCGATTCACTGGGATTAGGGTGATCGATTCCACAAACGCAAACCCGGTCACTCAGTACACTGACTAAAACCTGGACCATTGATCGTGAATGGATACCTCATTAAAAAAAAATTTAATGAACGAATTCACAAAATCATGAACTTATAACCCGGTCATTCGTTACGCTTACATTTTGTCCGGGGGTTAGATTCACATACGAGCAGAGTAGCTAGGCCTAATCTGTGTAATCCGACAGGAATAGCCACGGTTCACTGGCAGCATACACCCGATAGTTCGGTCAAACCATTGGACGAAATGAAAGAGTAGAACGCGTGATCGAAATACACGATACGACATTGTGAGAAGGAATCACGACCTCATATGAACCATATGCCATTCTGGCGAAGAAGAAAGGCACATTCACATAACTGTCGAATCACAACAAATCACAATACAAAGTTAGTTAGTCGGTCAGTGCAGCAAAATATCGAGTTCCAGACTGTAACAAGGTGGTGGAAGAAGGGGAAGGTGAAGTGGAATAGAGATTTTAGGCGGGAAAATGAGGCGCACAAGAAATGGGCTCGTGTTGAGATGTCTCTCGCTGTCTGAGTGAATAGTAAAATACCAGACACGGAATCACTGTGTATGTGTGTATGTATGTATGTTTGTCCGTGCACAGCACGGCATCTTTAGATCATTGTCTTTTGGTCAGATAGACCATACGGGTCAAGGTTGTCGTAACGCTGGTCATCTGAGTCTTATCGTGTGAATCCGGCACGCCCGTGTTCGATCGATACTGATAGGCGACACATCTGGCCACCACGGTTAACAATTGCAGGATATCGTGTGGTTGCTTGGCCTCCAGATCGGATTCCAACGCTCGACACAATTCTTGTATGAACCAGCTGCCACTGGTTGAATTACGCCATGCAAAATAACCTGTAGATTCAATGAAGACAGCGACATATCAATCACATTTAGAACAACAAGAGTCTATTATCTGCTGGTTTCATTGTTTCTGTGTTAAGCTAATTAACGAGTATCCAACGATAGGGGTCGATGAGACACAGAGCAGCGAACTTTACGGATCCCTGCCAAGCCGTTATTTGTACGAAGTCCAAACATGTTAGACAGACATGGGGGTCGAGATCCGTTCAGCGGAACAATGTGGGCACTGAACGAAACAGAACCACATCTTCTAAGTAGCGTTTCACCTCGTTTGAAGCGACGCTTGCGAAATCGGGTCATTATGAAGTTAAGGTAGAAGGAGGCTGAAAGTGTCTGATTATTAGTGTCTACACCGAATGCAGAAAGATTATTGAAGTGACGGTGTCTAACACGATCAAACTGGTTAACATTAGTTGAATAGCGAATTATTGTCAAACCTGTTTTAACACCTGCCCGTCAATGAATGATCACATTGTTACATAAGCACAGCACACTCGAAACAGGTAACAAACACGCAGCGTTGGCAAGACCACAACAACCGCCATGGGAGGTGGTCCGAGAAAATGGACAAACACAAGCTAGTCGGATTTACATTTGATATGGGGAACTAATCTCTAGAACTGTCGTGGAAGACTGCTGTCCACGAATCCAAACCACCGTCTAGCATGAAACAGTCACGTGAAAGTGGGTGAGATACCAAAATATATACAAGTGGGTGAAACAAGAATATCTTCTTTTAACAGTGAACAGTTGAATTCAAAAAGTACCGAGATGAAGATAGTTATCGGCATATGAATAGGTTAGAGGGTCGATGGATAAAACGATTCGCTTGCCTATATTTGGCCAGTAAGGAAGAACATTCAAACCAAACCGATATCAATGTTCCAGTTCATTTTCTCCTCTTCGTTCTACATTCTTAAATTTCTAGAGGCTTCTGATGAACTCAAGATTGATTTTTCCGATGCTAATGTAATCGGGACAGAATGTGACAATAGCTTTCAGTTCTTGAAATAAGCAAGTTTTAATTTATTCACTGAATGGTTATCGTTTTATCATTTGTCTTTTAATGCAGCCAAATGTAATGAATTTGTTTTTACTAACCAGAGAGGCGTTTCTGTTCAGTGGCAAATAAAAGATTGCCTTTCTATACCAGCAATCAAGAATAATCCAGTCCAGTACTTTGGAGTCACCCCTTGTCAAGACTTCATCTTGACCAAACACATTCCTTGGGATACGGCATCTAAAGTTTCATCTTTTGTCTGTGCTTTGTTCTGGTTAAACCAAACCCCAACAGTGACACGCGAGAGGGAACACGACTGGAGAACAACAGAGTACTGTATTGATCATGACGCGATACGCAAATATAAGCGGGTGGCCACTTCACAAGCACTGATGATGTCACCTCGGCTGGTGATGAAACGTTTGCGAACAAATTGCCAAGCTCGGCGAACAGGCGAAATGGAATAAGCGGGTAAATTGGGCGAACGGGAACGCCGTAGTGACACGCTAATCGGATCGCGTCCGTGACATTCCGATTGGTCGATCGTATGACAGCTGTTTGATTCGTCCTAGTCATCCAATCCGGAATCGATTCGCGTTACGAGTGCACTCGTAGTGTGACGCGGATCCGTGCGCAGTTTGACGGGTTTTGTGGGCGTCGTCCTACAAGCCCGAAGCGCTTGCAAATTCCTCGCCTGTTTGAACGATTTATGCAATTTTGCGTCATGCCAAGTGGTCTTTATGACCAGTCCTTTATTTTTGCCAGTCTTAAAATGAAAACGCTTGTCATTTTGTATGGTCTATTCAAGTAATATCACAACCCGGTGATAGAGGACGCAATGCGTTGACCAGTTTCGACGCCTACATTCCATTAGACTAAACGCATCTGCTGCACAATAATTTCACCAAAACACGTTGCGGCACGCCCGGGAAATTAAATTATTTATTGTGTCAATGTTCTCTGACCTAACCGTAGATTTGTCATTGAGTCATGAACTTTGAACCTCTTGGAGCGGACACAGTTTAATGCCAGTTGCGTGTAAACATTACTGTGTCCACATATTTGTTTATCTTGTCTTTCGTCTGTGATTAATTTGATTTACCAGGTATTGAATTCAGTGATAATCATGTTGACAAACTTCGTCAAGGAAATTCATCTTTTGGGAAGGAGCAAATCCGCTATTACCTGATTTAAAGTTGGCGAGGAACGTACGAGTTTCGCTAAAGGAATCCACTGTAACAAGACATTTTATTAGTCCATGGTCAACGGACACCTGTATAGAAGTGCTCATGCTTCAAACTGGTCTTCATGCAGACGGTCTGTGTGTATGTACGTGTACCAAATTAAATATGGCAAAAACAGCTGCATGTGGAAGAAATCCAATTTATGGCGGCCACAAGTGTTAGCTTGTCCGAATCACAGCATGTAATTCCTCAGCGCGTCACAACCGGAATCATTGGTTAGCCAAGGCACAACTCGCAAGAGATGCGATGCAGTCCGCGAAGACCGTTGGACATGCTTAAGGAATTTACAAGAAGGACTGAATGTTTTCTTGTGCATCCACAAAGATTAACACCGGATCAAAATGAGAACAATTATTGGACATTCTGTAGATTAAATTTGGCCTGTTTTTTTTAAATATAAACTAAGCCATGAACGGAACATTTTGTCACACTGAATACGAGTAACCTCAGTCCAGCTAGCGGTCGTCTATGGACGGGTGTCGAATGAGAGAGATTGGCAAGTAAGACTATCATTATCTAGCTACAGGACCACACTGAGCCTTCAACTCAGTTCACAATAAAACGACCGACACGGATCGATCCACATCGGGCGCTTGAATCGAATCCAGCAGAAGAACGTGAGCACTATCACAATGAGTTCATCGGAATGACCCAGACATAATGGAGAGGTTATCTGTATAAACACACTTCTGGTCAAGTGAGGGTGACCGAGTCGGTCGGCATTAGACAAGAAAAAATGATCACGGTCCATCAAAATTGTACACATGTGGGGGACGAAAGATGCGGAAGGTAATGAACATAATAGAATGAACAAAGGGATGGTCACGTGGTATTTTGATTATATATGTGTATACCTCGGACGCGCATGATGAACGAGAGGCAAAACGAGGATCGATATGAACACAGGGTAAATATGTGTGGTCTGCACGGCAGCATGCTGGATAATCAGATTTGAAAACAAAGTTCGATTTGTAAAACGAGATGAGATCTATAAACCAGAAAACCTTTGTTTATGGCAAGATCAGAATGAATAGAAAGATCACAGAGTACGCATACCTGACGAGAGTCAAGGACGGCAAAACCGGTCGGGTGCTCCTGAGAAATTTTGTCTGGTGATTCATATACTACTTATTGTAATATATATTCGGTAAACAAAAGCCTGAATATTTAATTTCGATTGAAGTCTTTGAGATGACCCACGAAGAGCAATGGACATCTGTTTCGTCCTGTTTTGGACTCGTCAGCAGTGCGCAACTTTTGTGTCCCTGTTAGAACTCGAACCAGCACCTGTGAGAAAACGAACGGGCTAATGGAAACATTTAACTGAGCAATTCGCACATGCTGATAACCGCCGAGTGTGTGTGGCTGAGTAAGAGTTTGAAGTCCCGACCCGAATATTTGCGGTTCCGGTCTCGACAGGAAGAGAGAAGGTACACGCTGCTGACGAGCCCCGAACAGGACAAAACAGTTGTCCAGTG